CCGGCTGGAGCTGGGCATTGAGCACGCGCTGCTGCTGGACGCAGCCGGCCAGGTGTTCTCCTGGGGCGGGGGCAGGTGAGGCCGCTGGGTTGCCGAGAGGCGTGGGGAGGGGACCTTTCCGTGCTCCTGGCGGACTGTTGCTTTTTTTCTCAGACACGGACAGCTCGGCCATGGCACACTGGAGGCGGAGCCGGAGCCAAGGCTGTTGGAGGCGTTGCAGGGCCTGCCCATGGCCCAGTTGGCCGCGGGGGGCTGGCACTCCGTGTGTGTGAGTGGTGAGTGACCTAGGACTTCTCCAGTCGGCTCACCATCTCCAGGCCAACTCCTCTTCCTTCCACAAACCCCACCTCAGTGGGCCCATCATTGAGGTGCTCTTCATGCCTCTCCCCTCTCTCCTGGCCTGCCGTAGCTCTGTCCTGACCTGTTACTGCGACAGCCTCTGTCATCTGCTAGCAGCCAGGGTTGTCTTTCTACCTAAGGTGAAGGGCATGCTAATGGCAGCCTACCCAAGACAGACAAGATGGCTTCGGGGGTGGAGGGGTCACAGGGAACCCACAGGGAGGACAGATGGTGATTGTGAGAGGAGGTGCATGACTGGCCATCAGGTGTGGCTGTTTCCTGAGCCTCTGGAGCCCACGCGGAGAGGGTGGGGCTGGGCACAGGTGAGCTTTGTCTGTGTCAGGGCTGTCAATGGGGCTGCTATTTAGCTCACCTGGGGTTTTAACCACCATCACCTCCTCCACTCCCCTGCCTCACCCATATCACACCTTGGGCCCAGGAAGGCAGCCAGGCAGGAGGAACCCTGGGTGGGGAGGGCAGAGCGGAGGGCTGGAAACAGCCCCATGAGAAGCCTCGAGTTTGAGTCCTTGTATTTGGAGCAGAAGCACGAAGGCCACAATCTGTGTTTCTGAATTCCAGATCACCACTCTGTCCTGTGACCTCAGGCTGCTGCTTAACCTCTCTGTGCCGCCGCTGTCTCATGCATTAAGATGATATTGTGTGAAATAGCGACACTGTGAGAGCTCCTGATAGGGCTTTCGTGAGAATTAAATGATTTGTATTTGAAAAGTGCATAAAGCATTGGCACAGATGAAATCCTTTGTATAATGAGCTACCGCAGCTGGAGAATTTCAGCATTAGTGCTCTGGGCTGTTGGGTGTCAGAGGCCCCAGTGGGACCAGGGATGGAGGCACAGGCTACCTCTGTGGGAGTCAAAGGAGGATGCTGGGAAAGTCTCAGCAATGTGGGGGTGCAGTTTAACAACATGAGACTGAAAATGGAGAAGGCAGGCGGCGTAGCTCAGGAGTTAACTTCAGCAAAGGATGACCAGAGGTGCTGGGGGCAGGGAACTTGAGACACAAAGCCAGGCCTGCCTTTGCCTGGCAGGCAGCAGGCTGTATTTGTCCCCAGGAGCCAATGGGAGGGTTGGGGCAGTGTGGAGGGATGGAAGGGGCTTCATGGATCCCCTCAATGCCTTTCAGAGACCGGGGACATTTATATCTGGGGCTGGAATGAATCTGGGCAGCTGGCCCTGCCCACGAGGAGCCTGGCAGAGGACAAGAGGACAGTCACAGGGGAAGGTGAGGGTCAGCCCCACCTGGGACGTGGCTGTCATTCCTGTCAAGGGGCATGTGACATCCTTGTCACCTGGAGATGCCATGGGATTTGGAGCCCCTATAACAGGTGGATCATTGGCAAGACTGATACCAGTGTTAGTTGCTACTGTATGGCCTTCAAGGCTGCCACCTCTATCACTTCTGTGAATGGGGTTGGAAGCGGCAGCCTGGGCTAAGAATAATGTGCTGGGTTGAGCTGTTGAAGTAAGGAGTGTGATGAGGTTCGGCTCCGTTAACCACCCTTGAAATCATTCCCTCTGCCGCAGCGCTAAACGAAGATGGTTCCGAAGTGGAGAGAGTGGCCGGGGCTCCTGCCCACTTCATAACTATCCAGCCCTTCCCAGCTCTACTGGACCTCCCCCTGGGCTCAGAGGCAGTTGGAGCCAGCTGTGGGTCCCGGCATACAGCTGTGGTGACGCGTGAGTGGGGACAGGCAGACTGCTTTAGGATAGAGCAAGGTACCACTCTGGTTGGGAGCTGCAGGAAGGTGGTAGCAATTTAAAATTTTGCAGTATTGGAAATCGAACACAGGACCTTGTGCTTGTGAGGGAGGCATGGTGCCACTGAATCCCCCCCAGTCTCTGTGTGCGCACGCATGCTGATCCAAAGCCAGAGCTTTACATATGCTAACTGAGCTATACTGCCAGCACTCCTATAATCCCAGCACTCAGGGCTGGAGCCCAGCCTGAACATCTTAGTGACTCAGCTAAACCTTGTCTCAAAATAAAAAATACAGGCCAGGCGTGGTGGTACATGCCTGTAATCCTAGCCCTTGGCAGGCTGAGACAAGAGGATTGCCACCAGTTTGAGGCCAGTGTAGGCTCCATAGTGACTTCAAGGCCTGCCTGAATTACACAGGACTGAAAGAAGGAAAGAGAGGGAGAGAGGGAAAGATGGAAATATTTAGTGTTCAAAACTCCAACAAGGTGGGGCCGGGGATGTAGCTCAGCGGTTCGGTGGCCTGCCTTGCAAGCGCAAGGACCTGAGTTCAATCCCCGCTACCAAAAAAAAAAAACCTCCAACAAGGAAAGCTGGGGATTTAGCTCAGCGGTACTGCACCAGCCTCACAAGCACAAGGTCGTGAGTTCTATCCCTGGTTACCCCCCGACAAAATAATAATAAAAAAAACAAAGATGGTAAAATCCAATAAGGGCTGGGGGATATAGCTCAGTGCAAAGGCCTTGGGTTCAGTCCCCAGTAGTGCAAAAAAAAAAAAAAAAAAACCCAAAACACACACACAAACCTACGTTGAGGCATCTTTGATGCATGCCAAGTAGCCACCTCCCTCATCAGATCAAGCTGCTATGCCCTTGTAGTTTAGTAGTGGCTCCCAGCCCATCAGGCCCAGAAAGTTGCTCCTTCAAGGGAAGCTGATATTCTCCATCCTCCAGGCAGGGCTCCACAGGTTCCCCGTGCCAGCCCCAGCTCAGCAGCCCTGAGATCTAAGCCCGTCAGGCAACATACAGGACACAGACTTCTCTGTCAGCTTACTCCCTTACACACCTGTATGTGTGCTTGCACACTCATCCACAGAGGCCGCTGTTCTCTGCCAGGCCCGTCCCTCGGGGTCGTAACGTGCTGGTTGTGGCTTGGGCATACCAGGCCAGATGGGTGCCTGGCCAAGAACCCTGTTGACTGTTTTTTACCGTTCTTTGGGTTGCAGGAACAGGAGAGCTCTATACCTGGGGCTGGGGTAAGTAGAAGGATTGTTCTGTTTTTTGAGATGGGGATTGGCTATGAACTCTCCAGCAGTTCTCCTGCCTCAGCCTCGAGAATGCTAAGATTACAGTGTGTGCCACCATTGCCGACTAAAAGGATAAAGGAGAGGAAATACCTGGGAGAATGGGATAGGTGACAAAACCACAGACTATAGGAAATGGGGGCCTTGGCTGAACACTGGGAGGTAAAGGATTGAAATGCTATGTCCCTGAACCCCATGGGAATAGAGGTCGGCACACTCCAAGATCAGATGATGCAGAAATAAGATGACGTCAGTACTGCCCATTCTACCCTTCTGACGCAGCATTTAGCCAGCATTTACAAAACAGCTGTCGTTCTGGCTCTGGGTAGAGAAAAGATAGAGTGGCAATCTGAGGTCTGAACATTGTGTGCGGTGCAGGTAGCAGTGAAGCCTGGAGGAAGCTCTTCCCGGTTTTCTGCGTTTGCCTGTCCCTGCAGCTTTCTGGCTCTGGGCTCCTGGATTCACAGAGCAGGAAGCAGCAGGGTGAAAGACGGGCTTCCTTCCTGGAGAGAAGATGACAAAGGGGCTGGTTTGGCTTTAGGTAAATACGGACAGCTCGGCCACAAGGACACCACCAGCTTGGACCAGCCCTGCCGTGTGGAATACTTTGTAGAAAAACAGCTCCAAGTAAAAACTGTCACCTGTGGGCCCTGGAACACCTACGTGTATGCTGTGGAGAACAGGAACAGCTGATGTGTAGATGCATTGTTCAAGTTATAAAATACATAGAAAAGTGTATAAAACAAATGTACAGTATATTAAAAATGACAAAGCTAACACTTGTGAAATTCCCACTCGTCAGGGAAACCCTTGCCAGCCTTCAGAGGTCCTGATCTGTCCCTCCTCATTGCAGCCTCGCCTTTTCCGGCCCCCCTGCACCAGGCAGAGCCCAGGACCTGGACCTGAGATGTCACTCAGGTGATTGTGAAGTACAGCAGATGGGAACACTAGAGGTTGTTATTGCCATTCGTGTCCTTGTTTAATTCAGAATTTACCACCTTTGTATGCATCCTTATGCAGTAAGTCCCGACTTATGAACAAGTTCTGTCCCGGGATTTTTTCCTAAATCAGACAAAGTGAGCTTCTTACAGTATACATGTGAAAGTTCGCCACTTGAATATGTCGGGAACTTAACCGAACTGTACATTCGGTTGTCTGCTTTTAAACAGGTAGTCGTTTGCATGTTATTTTGCTTTGGAGACAGGGTCTTGCTGTGTAGCTCAGGCTGGTTTTGAACATGGCGATCCGGAGCTGGGATTACAGGCATGCTCCACCACGCCTGGTTTTCATTTTGTGTATATTCTTTTGGTTCCACTCAGTCACGTGATCCATTGTTGTATCCTGAAGTTCACTCATTTTTATGCAGTGAGGGATTCTACTGTATCAATGTAGCATAAGCTCTGTATTCTTCTTTGATGGTTTTGTTGTCTGCTTCACTCACTACATAGGGCTTCGATGGTCACTCTTGCGTACACGTGCATGGTTTCTGCAGACAGGTGGGATGCATGCATTCCCGCCAGCAGTGGTATAGGCTCTGCTGCAGCTTAGACATTGATGGACACCCAGCGACTTAATCTGCATTTCCCCAAGTACTAGTGAAGTTGAACAGTTCTTCGTTCACTGGCAGTTGGGAGTTTTTCTGTTGTGAAGTGTCCAAGTCTTCTGTCCTACTAAAACTTTTTATACTTTTTAGTGATTTGTATTCTCATATATTTTAGATGTAAATCTTTTTGACAGTTATGTTTTTATATATTCTGCTGTTAGGTTGTTTTGGGGTTTTTTTCCCCCCATTAAATTTATTGGTACATTTAAGGTAAACAATAGTTACATTCATCGAAATCTTGTACCTTTACATGATGTATCATGGTTATTTTTTTCCCATTCCTGTCCTCCCTTCACCCTCCTTTACAGTTTGTTTCCATTTTTTTCCTTTTTTTATATTTTCTTTTCCCTTATATCCTTTCCCACTTCACCTACTCCTTTAGACCTTTTCTTCCTATTTCACATTATCAATTATACCATTTGAACCTTATTTATACTTTGTTTTTCACACCAGAGGAACTATTTGGTATTTTACTCAGGTGTCCTATTTATTTCTTGAATATGACCTCACACCGTCTCGCTATGTAGTTCAGACTGGTCTTGAACTATGTAGCCCTGGCTGACTTAAAACTCACAGGGGTCCTACTGACTCAGCCTCCTCGTGCTGGGATTACAAGCATGTGCCATGTCTGGCTGAGTTGTCTTTTACATGCTCGGTTTGGGGTGATTGAATCCAGAGTACAGAACTACATCACCAGCCTGTGCTAGGCTGCCCTCAAACTTGCCATCTTCCGTCCTCAATGCTGAGATCACAGGTGTGTGCCACCATGCCTGGCTTTGGAGGGGGTACCAGGGATCAAATTTGAGACCTTGCACTTGCAAGGCAGGCGGTGGCACCACTGAACTAAATCCCCAGCCCTGGCTTTTTTATTTTGTCCCTATCTTCCTTTAGCTCTTTGAGCATCTTTTAGTGTTATTAAAGTTTTTGAGCAGCTCCACAATCTCATATTTCTCAAATGTTTTCTAATTCATTTTTTTCCTTTGAATCAGCCATACCTTCCTGTCTTAGATGCTTTGTGATTGTTACTGTTGAAAACTAGACATTTGTATCCTATAACATGGTTAAGTCTGCAAATCAGATTCTCCTTTTATAGGGTATTTTAAAATTACTATTGTTGTAGAGTGTGTGTGAAGGGAACCAGCCTGAGGTGTAACAAGGTCTTCTGAGATTTTTAAGCCTGCATCTTTCCCTGGACATGTGCAGTAACCATTAACTCAGCTGTATATGCTTTTGCTTTGGCTTATCCTAGTTTGACTAGCTCACAAAGGGGAAAAAAACAACAGAAAGAACACTAGGTCCTTAAGCCCTTGGAAGCTGCTTCAGCCAGGAGTCTGGGTGGTGGGAGGACTTATGGTCATGGTCCACCTCTTTTTGTCTCCACTGTTACAGGATCCTGGTGTTGGGAGGGTGGGGCCTTTATTGCTCACCCTGCCTCCCATAAGCTGTGTACAGGCTGCCTTAGTGTGTGGCTCCCGATGTACAGGCTGAGTGGGATAGCCACTATTGGATTAAAAGGGCAAAATTGATCAAAATGAACCCTTGCCCAGGCTGGCCTCAAACTTGTGGTTCTGCCTTGGTCTCCTGAGCAGCTGGATTCCAGGTGTGTATCACCAAGCCTGGCTCACAGGCTTTTCAGTAGACTTGAGGTCCAGCATAGTCACATCAGAAAGGTTTTGGTAGCACAGCTGTCACCTATGTGCAGAGAGGGATTTCTGCTTAACTGTTTTATTCAGGACACTATTGTGACCTTTTGTGACAGATTTTAGAAATATTTTTCTTGGCTTGTCAGCTGTCCTTTGATATTTGATTTCTCTTGCAAAGGTTTTTGTGTCCAAATTTATTGGTCTTTTGTTCTATGTTTTTTTTTTTTTTTTTTTTTAATAGGGGATCAAACTTGGGACCTTGTGCTTGCAAAGCAGGTGGTGGAACCACTGAGCTAAATCCCCAGCTGTTCTATGTGGTTTTGAGTAACAAAAAACTTCCCTTTTCACTTTATAGAGGAACTCAACCTTCAGTTTTCTTCTTGTGCCATTTTTCATATTTAAATCCTTGATCCCTTGATCCACTTGAAGCTTATTCTTCCATATCCTATTAGGTATGTATCTTTTTTTTGTTGTTTTGTTTTGTTTTTTTGAGACAGGGTCTCACTGTGTAGTCCAGGTTGGCCTCAAACTCACAGCAATCCTCCTGCCTCAGCCTCCTGAGTGCTGGGGTTACAGGTATGCATCATACACTCGACTTAATATGTATGTTTGTTTTGGTACCAGGGATTGAACTCAGGACCTTGTGCTTGCAAGGCAGGTGGCAGAACTAGAGCTAAATCCCCAGCCCCAGTTTAATATGTATTTTTTGTAATGACTGACTAGTACCCTAATGTTAGGGCCTGGATGTGAAATGTTGCCAAAGGCTTACATGTTTGGAGATGGGCTTTGGGGAAGTGATCAGATCACAGGGCCCTAACTTTGTCAGAGGACTGATATATGGATGAGTTCATAGTCAATCGGCTTAGCAGGAGGTGGCTCCTAACTGGATGAAGCAGGTCACTTAAGGCATGGCCTTCAAGTTCTTTCCCTTCTTAGCTTCCTGGCTGCCATGAGGTGAGCATCTTTCCTCCTCCATACTCTTCTGCTGCATTTCCCACCACAGGCCTAAAAGCAGTGGAGCTGGCCAACCACAAACCAAACCACTGAACCTGAACCAAAGCAAATCTTTCGTTTTCTCAGGTATTTTGTCACAGCAATGAAAAATTATCATAAACATTTCCTTTAGTTGAGTCTGTTTCTGAGCCTTTATTCTCTATTTGTCTGTACCATGCTGCATTAATCACAAACTTTGTAAGTTTTGTTCTGATAGAGGTTGTAGCTTTTCTCTTCGTGTTAGCCCATTTGTTTCTTGCCTTGAATTGTGGATGTTTTTATATATCCTGGATTTAAGTCAGGGTAAGAGCAAGTCAGACATGATTTGCAAATATCTTCTCCCAGTTGACAGCTTTTCTATTGCATATCGTTTTTGAACCAGGCATGGTGGTACGTGCATGTAATCCCAGCCACTTAGGAGCTTGAAGCAAGAAGATCACAAGTTTGAGCTCAGCCTGGGCAACTCTGCAAGACCTTGTCCCAAAGAAGGTAGGGGGTTTGTGTGGAGCACTTGCCTAGCATAAGCAAAACCTAGATTCGATCCCAACACTACCAAGGAAAAATAGTAAGTAGGCCATGTACATAACTGTACTCCCAGCTACTAGGGAGGTTATTTCTCTCAACCATTCTTAATTTAGAATATAAAAATATACAAGATTTTTTTTTAGGAATATCTTAAAAAAAAAAAAAAAAAAAAGTCTCTCATGTAGTTCAGGCTGGCCTTGAATTCACAGTGATCCCTTCTGCCTCAGCCTCACTGATCTTGTCTATCTTCTTGGCAATAAGAAATTTGGGGCGAAATGAAAACCACAATATTATCTTTTTGAAAAGTATCTATACACATTTTAATTTATTTTTAAGAATTTATATTTTAAAAATAAGACATGTATATATGTGACTAAACAGCATGTCTGACAGCTACAGAGCAAGTTCACATTGGTAACCTTTTGAGAACCATTTTAATGTGTCATAGGTAGAAGAATAAATAGTGCTTTAGAACACAGTGATGGACAGAACAGGTAGAAAGCCTCAGCGCAGATGCTATTGCAGGGATAATGCAGGGACAAGCCCCAGTAGTGACGTGTGCAAAGGTGCTGGTCTCTAAAGTAAAAAGCAGCCCCACCCACCGAGGCAGCCTCCCCACCTGGCTGCAGCTGCAGGGTAGGACCCCGGCATAGCAGGCACAGGGCAGGGACCGGACCCCGAGGAAACGCTTCAGACAGCGTGTGCGATCATACAGACCCCCAAAGGGATCGCACTCTGTAACAAAAGCTGTACACAGTTTAACAAAGGCGCTCCCAGCCGCCGTCACTCTTGGGCAGTCGTCAGGCCACAGATGCTGACTCACAGACCTCAGTGTGATGGGGACAGGCCTCTGAGTGAGAGCAAGGCCATCAGAGCTGTAACATTAACTGGACATCCCTAGATTTAAAAAAATGTTAACTGATAATTACAAGCGCACCAGCCAAACTTATAGCCCATGGCCCATACCCCAAGGCTGAGCACAGGCAGTCATTTTCCTACACAACAGTGAAATGCAACAAGCCCTGGATCATGCTTATCCAAGTACAGTTATGGGATAGAGAAGGAAATTAGGTCCCAGGTGCTAAAATCTGTACTTACTGCTATAAACTAAGTTTTAAGGTTATTTCTTGAATTAAACTGAAGAAAAACTCCAGCCCCCACCCCATATAATTAAGTCCAGCTGACTGCCTGGTCAGGGCTTCTCAGGACTGGATGTTGGTTGAATTGAGGATTCGAGAAGTAGCATCAGATTTGGAAGCCTTTGAAAGTTCTCGCTGTTAAAAAACAAACAACATTAGTGCCAGCGCTACCCCTATCACAGATGCCCCGCCTTTCCAGTCAGCAAAGTCCTGAGGACAGTTTGTGTGAAACAGAGGCCCCCCTAGCCCAGTCCATGTTAGAAGGTGAACTCTGAGCACCATGCTGTTAGTCACACATGGCCCCTGACCCCTTTTCCTAAGCCAGCCCCTTCTGTTAAAAACCTCACTCAAGATAAATCCCTTCTGCTTCACAAAGCTACTCTTTAGTTATAAAGCTAGGTGAGCAACAAGCTTTGGTTTCTTAAGCCCTTTACAAAATAATGGGCTGCCCAATTTATCTACCAATCCCTGGGGCTGAGGGCCTTGTAACCTGCTGGTGATTTGATCTCATGCTGGAGCACATGGTATATAGAGCAGAAAACAGCGTGTGAATGACCACCGAGAAAGGTGTTAGTGGAGGTGAGCATTAGTGGCTTTAGTGCTGCCCAGTGGAGTTTATTAGCCATAGCAACAGAACCAGATGAACCCCTCAGAAGGTACACTTAAGCCCCAAATAGATGAAATGGGCCTTGGCTGAGCAAGCAAATATGAGAAAGGTAGCCCCTCTGGCTAGGCTAGCTAGCCCGAGTGACACACATTCACTTCTACACATACGTATTTTGGAAAAGGTACCCAAGTATGAAGCTAGGTTCAATGCTCCAAACTACCCCATGCAACATGGGAGAAAGCCTAGGCTTTCTTTCACTCAGTACCCCTCAAGGGAGAGAGGTGGCCTCATCTCTCACTGGTGGGATATTGAGGGAAGAAAAGACAGCTTGTTAAATAAAAGGCATTAGAGTTGGGTGTTAGCAGCTACAGAGCAGGATACTATGAGATGAAGGCCAGGTTGGAAAAATTACTTCCCAGTGCTTCATACACACTTTAGCAACTCAGGATGGTAGACAGGCAAAAGCAGGTGAATGGAAAGTTGGTGATCAGCCCCAAGAGGTTAGGGAGGTTAGTAAGGCATACTCCAGGACACAATCAGCAAACAGGCCAAGAACCTCATCAGAAGCAGCACACAGCTGGGGCTCCCCTCCCCACATGATGGGGCCTCTATTCTTTCCAGCATTCTCTAGGTCTTGGGTGTCATAATTGAGGAGGAAGGTTTTCTTCCCCTGACTTCGGGGGCGGGGCTGAGAATCCAATTCAAGTCTGAACAAATTTCCTTATTAATCAATCACAGATTAATCATTTAGAATATAAGATATGTATTTTTGAAGTCCATAACAGGAATCCCTGCTTTTTTTGTAAGAAAGGTTCTGTGACAATAGGCTGAGATTATGGGTTAGCGTAGCCCTGTGCCCCGTTGGGAATGAAGCCAGCAGACAACAGATCAGATTGGAAAAGTGGGTCATGGGACATGCAGGGGTCGCGATACAGACCTGAAGCCTAACAGTTGAGCTGTCAGAGAGGGACGGATCCTTCTAAGAACAAAGAATTAAGACAGTTACCAAGAACTCCACCAAGAGAGCACCAGAGTAGTGAATACAGGTCGTCACCTTCAGCCAGGGAATGGTTTTAAGCAGAAGGATCCAGGTTAAATATCCAGTGCTGCTGCCAGCTTGCATCCTAAACACCCTCTTACGCCACCCATACCCACACCATGGTCAAGGCAGGAAAGGGATTCTCAGCCTCTGAGGTAACTGACCTGACTGACTAGGGAAGACCCCCACTTTGCCCCAACTGTGTGCTCCCCAGAGACTGGTAGATATTAGGAAAGGTGAATTACCGCAAACTCAGAATAGGTGCTGGCAACAGAATTAATGCTGAAGTTGCGCTGGAGGGGGGCTGAGCCAGGGTACCCACCACTCAGGAAGCTGCCACTGAGCTCCAGGTTCTCCTTGTTGGCCCCAAGTCTGTTGGCACGGGGAGTTTTCTTTCCTGAACAGGTGGAAGTGACTACTGGCTGCAGAACCGAAAAACAGATCTTTGTATCTCCTTATGATGAATGCACACACAGACAAAACCCCAAGGATCAAGGTGTTTTTGTATGGCTTTTTCTTTAGGACTCTGGGGAATGAATCCAGGACCATACCCCTACTTCCTTTTTGGTGAGAAATGGTCTGTTGATCCTCCTGCTTCTGCATCCCAAAATGCTGGTGTTATAGACATGTGCCACCACACTCGGCTATGATGCATTATATATATGTAGTATATGTCTATCATCGTGGACTTTTGGTTTTGGGAAAAAAGTACATGAATTCTTAATGATCTACACAACACCTATCCTGAACATGGCCTATTTGCAAGGCTGATCCTTTTTTAGCAGAGATCCCACCTCGTTCCTGATACCTGACGATATCTAGTAATCTAGTGTCACTGGTCTGGGAAGGGGAACCTAGCTCAATACTACCTGATCCTCCTGTCCCTAACATTGCCCAGTGCTTCCTGAGTGAGGACGCTCAGCAACTATTTTTTATCTCCTTAGTTTTTGATCATTATCTAATGATTATCTATCTGGGTAGGTAATATCAACTCAGCATCTCGCTGAAAACTGAATCCAGGAATCGTGGAGATGAGACCAAGTAGGGGAGACACCCTTATACATAGAGCATACCAACCTTGCTGCCAGAAGGAGGAAGTCGAGACATGGGGGAGTGGTAGACTGTCCCCCCAAAGGCAGGACGAAAGCTACTATTGGCTGCAGTATTGGACGTGGTGGTAGTGTTCAGCTGAGGAGAACAGATACATTACTGATGTGAGGTAACACGCTCAAGCCTTGCCAGCACCTGTCTTCCCCATCCCCCTGAAAATGACATGAGTATAGGAAGCAGTTTAGGAAAGATGAGTCTGCTTGCTAAAGAGCCTGCTCGGTCAAACTGCACATCTTTGTGGAAACTCCTGAAAATGTTTACATGTCTGTCCTATTTATTTCACTTAAGAATACTGTAGCTGGGTGTGGTGGCGCACACCTGTGATCCCAGCACTCAGGAGGCAGAGGTGGAGATTGCTGATGAGTTCAAAGCCAGCCTAGGCTACACAGTTGAGTTCAAGGCCAGCATGAACTACATAGTGAAACCCTGTCTCCCGTCAAAACAAAAACGCTTTTAAAAAACCTACTTATACCCAACAAATGGAACTGTAAAGTGGTGCCGCTACTTATGCCACAGACATCATATGACCCTAACATTTACCCAAGAGTTAAAGATGAGTATAGCAGTTTAATCAATACTCAGTAAATGGGCAAGAAGATCGCGATGTATTTATACAATGGAATACGCCCTCATAATAAAGGAGTATTGATACATAACATGAACCTCAAAAAAAAAAAAATGAAATGGGCTGGGGATTAAGCTCAGTGGTGCCGCCACCTGCCTCGCAAGTGCAAGGTCCCGAGTTTAATCCCCAGTACCAAAAAATAAACCGTATGATTCTATATAAAATGTCAGAAAAAGCAAAGTAATCTATAGTGACAGGAAACCTGACTGCCAGAGGCTGAGGGAGGAGGAAAGGAATACAAAGTCGCACTAGAAACTTTGGGGGCAGTGGATATGCCCATTACAGTATTTTGATCCTGGTGATGGTTCCATCGTGTACACATACCCAAACTTAACTGGGCACAGGGATCCCAGCACTCCAGGCGGGCAAAATTTAAGCCTGAAAGTTTTGTGTACTCGGGGGACCAGAACCCAACAATGAGGAAGTGTCAGCCAAGAACTGTCGGCCACACTGTTATCACAGGTTGGTTAATGCAGCCAGGACTTGATTCCTGCTCTAGAGATTTAGGAGTATTAAATAGTCCTTTAAAAATGATCCATTTATCAAGCATGAACGTATTAAACATGTCTTTCACCTAGTACCATGGTCACCTGTTGGAACTACAGGATGAACCTGTGGAAGTCTCATCACCACAAAATATCAGCAGCTACTGGCCCGAGGAGTTTAGTGCAAAGACAACACCTGGCATACGACAAAGCTGGCCCCCTGCAACTGCCACTGTGGGCCACTGCTCAGAGTTAGACATCAGCCTTCCTCTCACTCTGATGAAGCCAGCCTGAAACCCTAAACCTCTTTCCCGTCTCAGCAGGCCAGAGGGGCAAGAATGGGTGAAGAGCCCTGGCCTCCCCTCCGTCACGAGCTGCACACGTAAGGGTTGCGTTTACCTTGCGTACTTTGCCGGGCGTGCTGGGAGCCAGAACTCGCCTCTTGCTGGGCGTCCGGGGAGCGCTGCCGTACAGTATCTCTGTCTCTGTCTGCTTCTTGTTCTTCAATTGCTGGGTGAAAGAAGCAACAGTGATGAGTCCCAGCAGGAGAACAGGTCCGGGATGGGGACGGGAGCTGACACCCAGCGTCAAACCTCCATAGCCTGCTGCCGGCTACTTAGTCTTCAGTCCACCCTGACCCCGGCGGAGACACAAGGCTGCTCAAAATCCCAGTTTTCACGCACACTTACCCTTTCCTGCTTGGCTCTCTCTCTCTCCAGTCTGTGTGCCTCCCACTGTTCTGTCACATACTCCATGAATTTCTGCCCATTCACTAGAAATGCCGTCGATTGCTCCTGTTCCCACATTTCAATCCGTGTCTTCAACTCCTCTTCCAGCTGAGACGAGAAACAATGCCCTGTTCATTCTTCAAGTCTTTGGTGTGAAGCCCAAAGGACATGATCACCCTAGAGTGAATCCACTCTACCTATAATCGCAGTACTAGGAGGCTGAGGCAAGAGGACTGTGAGTTCGAGCCCAGCCTGGGCTACACAGTGAGACTGTTTCAGAACAACAACAAAAAAGCAATTCTCCTCTCCCTAGAACATTATTAATCTCACTTTAGGTAGTGGACCCACATGGGTCAGAATAACCAGAAATCAAAGCCTAAGGATGATTCATTCATAACCCATGCAAAGGTACAAAAAAGCAAGAAGGTGGAGTCTGGATACCGACGTTTTGATATCTAAAGCTGGAGGCAACATTGGCAGGATCAGTATACTGCAAGTAGGACTAGGGACTCAGACTACCTGGGTTGCAATCTAAAATGTACCACTCTGTCGGGTGTGGTGATGGTACAACACCTGTAATCCCAGCACTTGGGAGGCTGATGCAGGAGGATCACCGTAAGTTCGAGGCCAACCTGGTCTACATAATGAGTCCAATACCAGCCTGAACTACATAGGGAAAACCTGTCTTGAAAAATAAATCTACAAATCAAATCTACTACTTATTAGCTCTGAAAAGATGGGTGGAAATAACATAGGAATATGGTGAATTATTTGAACAAGTGAAAACACTTTGAAATCCTATCTGATACAATGCAATAAAATGGTGACGGTGATTACTGAAATAGGAAATAGGCTGGGTGGTTGCATACCTGTAATCTCAGCACTAGAGAGGCTGAGGCAGAATAATTGCCATGAGTTCAAGGCAAGCCTGTGCTACATAATGAGTTCAAGCTAGCCTGGACTACACAGCAATACTCTGTCTCAAAACAAAACAAAAAAATAGTAATGAGGCCTATGGCACTTTCACAAAACCTTGTACTATATTACGTGCTAAATTAGTGCCCCAAAATCCACGTTAACATCCTAACCCCCAGTGCCTCCCAACGTAACTGAATTTGGAGATAGGGCCTTTACGAAGGTAACTGAGTCCACCAGTGTGACTGGTGGTGCTTAAGACAGACACACAGAGGGAAGATCATGTGAAGACAAGGAAGGGAAGGCAGATATCTGCAAGCCAGCCAAGCAGAAAGGTCTCAGGAACCCAACTGTCAGTGACACCTTGGTCTCAGATTTCTAGCTTCCACAATTGTGAGAAAGTACCTTTCTGTTCTTTGTGCTGCCTAATGTGTGGTAATATATTACAGTTGTCCTAGAACTCACATACCTTGATAAGCAGTTGTTTACATGGAAGGCCCAATATATTCTTAAAATATTTGGAGGGCTGGGGATTTAGCTCAGTGGTGCTGCCGCCTGCTTTGCAAGCACAAGGTCCCAAGTTTGATCCCCAGTACCAAAAAAAAAAACACCACAATTATTTGGAAAAAAAGATAGTGTGGGGGCAAAATTATAGGTAGCAAAGGATACACAGAAAGTGACATCTACCAGGTGTAGTGGTGCATGCTATAATCTTAGCACTCTGGGAAGCTGAAGCAGGAGGAGCCCAGTTTTAAGCCCAGCCCCATGATTTAGTAAGACCTGTGTCTCATGCCCAGTGTGAAAATCCCGGGTTCAATCCCCAGACCACAAAAATAAAAATAAAGTGAGGATGTGGAGGTGTCTGGCTGCGACATCTATCACCCCACTGATCACCAGGGAGGATGTGGCTGGCTAGGCAGTGTCCCCTTCCTCCCTCACTGCTCCACGTGCTTCCCTCCCAAAGCTGTGTGCTCAGTTGAAGATGACCACCCCCGACAGAGGAGGACCATTTCTTCAGTCACCGGCATATGAGTAGTTGTGCTCCCTTGCTAGAACCTCCAAACAAGCTCTCAAAGATAAAGTGAGATAGCTTAGATATAAGCATCAAAAAATCTTGAGCAACAGGGCTGGAGATTTGGCTCAGTGGTTCCGCCACGTGCCTTCTAAGTGCAAGGTCCTAAGTTTGATCGCTGGTACTAAAAATAAAAATCTCAGCAACAATATTACCTTAGGGAGTGTTTTCTGGAGTTTTGCGCGTTGCTTTTCTTCCTTTAGAAGATTTCCTCCCCGATTTGTAAATCGACTCGGATCTGAAGCTTTTCTCTGAAAAATACATTTTTATTTATTTCTGATTAGGATAATCAGACTAATTACTTCTGCTAAGATTTCTCGTTCTCATAATACATATTGTTAAAATTTCAAGAGTTTTGCATTCTATGTACTCTGAGTGGTGAGGAACCATGGCCTTCAGAGCCATGGGCACTCCCAGGAATGTTCAAGAGAACTAGCACTTCCTCTTTATCTAAAGAACAGCATGAAGTAACAGTGTCATCAGCTCCCTTCCTCCACTTGTGTGTCAGATGATGACACATCACTAGACATGAGATGTGTGGAGGGGATGGAGGTCTACATTTAGAGGGCTTGGTGTGGTGCCTACCTGCCCACTTAACTAATGGCACATCGTCACAGGATGCAGCTGAACTGCATGGTCAGGAAGGTTAGAAATAAGGGTTTCACTAAGTCCTCCCAAAATAAACAAAAAATGTAAACTGAGAGCTAAAAGGTGCAGCTCAGTGGTCGACCTCTTAATATTTGCAAGGCCCTGGGTTTGATCCCCAGGCCTGCAAATAAATACATGCATAATACAGCTTCTCATTCTTTTTTAACTACCTGTTTTTTTTTTTTCCGTACCAGGCATCAAACTCAGTTCCTTGCACTTGCAAGGCAGCTCCAGAACCACTGGGCTAAATCCCTGGCCTTAACTACCTGTTTTCTAATCTTTTATAATGTATATATAGTAATAAGTATTTAACTAAGCATTTTAAGTATAGTCTATTATCTGAAAACAGTAGCAAACAGAACCATTCTTGGCAATTTGGAGGCTAAACATGTGAAAAAACTTTTCTATTACAGAATGCTTGATTGGTTACATCCTATACACAATAACTAGAACGGACAAGAATGTATATTTTTCTTAAATGTGGGCATGTCAACCAGATTGCTGCTTTAGCTCTTTGTTCATGTGTCTTCTTCCTTGCTTTTAACCAGAAATACAGAACACCTTAAGGACTGGCTGATCCTAAACAGCTCTAAGACCTCTTGTTCACTGAGTCTTAGTTTCCTGCCAGTAAACTTGAAGAACTAAAGATTTTCTAAAATCCCCTTCCAGCATGAACCTGAGAATGAGATCTTCTTAAAACTTTGGGCCTGAGGTGCCTCACTTGTCTCAACTTAGTCCTATTCCTGGGCTCTAAAATGCTGTCTATGCCAAGTGTATCAGAGGAAAAGGAATTGAGAGTATACAAATGCACCCCATAACCAGGCAATTTTGTAGGAAAAGAGCAAAAGCTGCAACAATAGAGAATGCTAGCTGCCTGCCCTGACACCCACTCTTCCTGCTTTCCGTAGTAACAGATCCACATTTGGTACCGCAACTCTCCTAGCCAAGTGCTGTGAAGAGCTGGGAAGACCCTTACAGAGGACAGAGGGCAATGCCTTTCTTGTTCTTTCCTCCATCACACTGCCCAGAATGGGGCAGCATCATTTGAGTGACAGGTCTAGCAGCCCCATATTCCTGAGGAGGAAGGGCCCTCAGTGGTGGTGAAGCCCCAAGCTAAAGAAGCGTGCGCCCTGGTCACTGCTGAAATGCAGTGCCTGAGTCCCTCTGCACTCACCTGCAACAAGTGTCAGCTATTCATTTGGGGGTTTTCTCTTACAAGCCCTGCACATAGGCGTAGCAAGTACAGAGGGTTAGCAGGAATTCAGAATTAAAGGACAAAGACAGGATAGTAGATGTCTGGCAAAGAACAAAGAGAATAACTGTAACTGTACACAGGCCATGGCTTCTAAACATTTCATTTTACTCTAGGGAAAACAGACGAACACTAGAGCAGTACCTCAAATTCCAAGAAAAGCCTCCAGTTCTCTTCCCACTTCTGGACACCTTCAAAGAGCTCCTTGTGAACTTCATAGTAGTTTTTCAACTGCACAATCTCAGCATCATGCAGCTGCAGCAGGCTTTCTGTGTAGTCCTCTGTAACATATAGGGGCCCAGTAGTTCCAAAAAACATCCTCTAGTATTTAATATCCCAATTAAGTAAAACTCCATCCCCCTAAAATGGAGATAAAGTTTGTTTTTCCTTATAATAAAGTGATACAGAAATGTCCGTAACTGTGGCTAATGAAAAATAAAAGCCAGGAGTGTCAAGATCAGCCCAGAGGTACTAAGGGACTAGGGCTTCGATCAAAATAATGTTCTCCAAGATCTGTGTGTTTCTTGCCTTGTCTTAGCTTCCTTTCAGCTTTTCCTAGACAACAGCAGTTGAGTCATGGGAAATGTCTAAAAACACGCACTGATTTTAGTTAGAATAGCTTCAAGACTGACCTGGAACTCACTATGTAGCCCAGGCTGGTCTCTAACTCATAGAGATCCTCCTGCCTCAGCCTCCCAGAGTGCTGAGATTACAGGTGTGTGCCACTACGGGGCTCAGAATAGCTTCATCTTCATGTTCAGGCTAACCTAGAATCCAGTGGGCTCAGGAAGTCAAACTCCTGTGGACTCAAGTGTATGCTCAGGCACTTTCTGGGTTAAGCTGCTCAACATTATTTGTCTCAGTGTCCTCATCTCTTGACATGGAGAAGAATTGAGATAATATTGTTAAGGGTTTTAACAGTGGCTTTGTTGGCTGAATCTCTCATAAGAGGAAATACAGAACTTCCTACTGAGTCCCTTGGCTTACAAAACATCAATGAGCAAGCCATATAAAGACTACCACTTCTGGGCCAGGGATTTAGCTCAGTGGTTCTACCTCCTGCCTCCCAAGTGCAAGAACCTGAGTTCAATCCCCAGTACA